ATGCCCATTTTTGAATTGGGTTTTTTAATTTGGGGGGTCTGATTTTTTTATTTCTTTATACATTCTAGATAGTAGTCCTTTGTCTGAGGTACAGCTGCTAAAATTTTTTTCCCACATGGTAGGTTGTCTATTAGCTCTGTTGTTGTTTTCTCTTGCAGTGTAGCTTTTTAATAAGATGAGGTCCCAGTTGTTGATTCTTTGTGCTAGTTCCTGTTCTACTGAGGGTATCTTCATAAAGTCTTTTCCTATGCCAGTGTCTTCTAAGAGTTCTACCTATTTTCCAGGAATTTTAGTGTTTCTCTTTTAATATTTAAATCTTTAATCCACTTCGATCTTAGTTTAGTGCATGGTGATAGATATGGTTCTAGTTTTAATCTTTGGCAGGTTGAAATCCAGTTTTTCCAGCACCATTTATTAAATAGGCTATCTTTCCTCCAGTGAGAGTGGTTGGCTCCTTTGTCAAAGATGAGGTGGCTGGGTATGTCTGGAGTTGTTTCTGCATCTTCTAATCTATTCCACTGATGCTCAGGTCTATTTCTTTACCAGCACCATGCTGTTTTTATCACAGTAGCTTTGTAGTATAGTTTCAAGTTGGAGATTGTGATACCCCCTGCCATGTCTCTGTTACCTAGAATTGCTTTTGCTATTTTAGGTCTCTTCTGGTTCCAAATGAAGTTTTGAATTGTTTTCTCTAGTTCTGTGAAATCTATTGTTGGAATTTCAATCGGCATTGCATTAAATCTATATAGCAGTTTTGGAAGTATGGCCATTTTCACTATATTGGTTCTTCCTATCCAGAACAATGGATGTCTTTCCATTTTCTTATATCCTCTTCAATCTCTTTTTTCAGAGTGCTGTAGTTTTCAGTGGAGAAGTCTTTTTCTTCCTTCATTAGATTGATTCCTAGATATTTCATTTGTTTGGATGCTATTGTAAAAGGAATTATTTCCCTAATTTCTCTCTCAGTGAGTCTGTTATTTATGTACAAGGAGGCTATTGTTTTTTGAGTGTTGACCTTATATCCAGCTACTCTACTGAATCTGTCAATTAAGTCTAGGAATCTTTTGGTGGAATTTGTTGGGTCTTCTATGTAAAGTATCATATCATCAGCAAATAATGACAGTTTGACTTCTTCATTTCCTATCTTTATTCCCTTTATTTCTTTCTCTTTTCTAATTGCTGTGGCTAATGTTTCCAGAAATATATTGAACAGGTGTGGTGATAATGGGCATCCTTGTCTTGTTCCTGATTTTAGCATGAAAGTTTTCAGTTTGTGACCATTTAGTATGATGTTGGTTGTTGGTTTTTCATAGATAGCCTTAATCAGGTTGAGATTAAAACCTTCTATTCCAATTATCTGTAGGGTTTTTAACATGAATGGGTGTTAGATTTTGTCAAATGCTTTTTCTGCATTTATTGAGATGATCATATGGTTTTTTTCCTTGGCTCTGTTAATATAGTGTATTACATTTATTGATTTACATGTATTGAACCATCCTTGCATCACTGGGATAAATCCGACTTGCTCAGATTGTTCGATCTTCTTTAGGACCCTCTGTATTCTATTGGCCAGTGTCTTGTTGAGGACTTTGGCATCTATGTTCATTAGGGAGATTGGCCTGTAGTTCTCCTTTTGAGTTGAGTCTTTCCCTGGTTTTGGAATCATAGTAACACTTGCTTCCAGGAATGAATTTGGAAGTATTGCTACCCTTTCAATTTCCCTGATGAGTTTAAAGAGTAATGGCAATAGTTCTTCTCTAAATGTCTTGTAGAATTCAGCAATAAAGCCATACGGACCTGGACTTTTCTTGGTAAATTTTTAATTACGTTTTCAATTTCACTGATTGTAATTGGGGTGTTTAGAATTTTTATATCTTCTTCATTCAACTTTGACAATTCATTTGTATCTAGGAATTTGTCCATTTCTTCTGTGTTTTCAATTTTATTAGAGTGCAGATTCTTGAAGTAGGTATTGATGATCCTCTGGATTCCTTTCTTTTTTGTTGTTAAATTCATTTATTGGTACATTTTAGGTATACAACACAATTACATTTCGCATTGGGAATTGTACCTTTACATAATGAATCTTGCCTCTTATTTTTTCCCCATTCCTAGCCCTCCCTTCACCCCCTCCACCTTTCCCTATTTACAAAGACTTTGTTTCCATTTTTTCCATTTCTCATCATTTTTCCTTTC